GCTGGAGCTAGAAATTTGGATATGGAATCAAGGTATGAATCCACGATAGTAATTTTAATGTGGCCGCCGCGAAATTGGCCTCCGATGGCCATCTCCAGGAGTGACGCGTTTTTCGGGGTTAAACCTAATAAAATCTAATCAGTTACTAGATACTTCCCCCACGGCACCCGTGATAGGCCTGAACCTGAATGATGAGGTATCACCAGGAATATCGTCTGATTTTGGGTAATTTGTAAGTTTGTATGTTATTATTGTTAGTTTAAGATATGTAAATGAAAAAAAAAATCAAATATTTTAGTTATAAGAATTATTGTTGTATGAATATATAAGAGATTTTTAAATAAAGTCATGTGAAGGGTTCAACATTATTTACTTTTTATTATTAAAATTGCAGAAAGAAAGAAAATGGTGGTTCACAAACTACAGCCGCCGGGTAGCGCGCCGGGGCAGCGGGGGGCGGACAAAGAGTGACCAAAGCGGCTTAAACGATCAGTCTTTTGACAGGTATCGTTTTCGCCTCACGCGCTCAAATGTTGCAAATATGCGCGCCAGCGAAGCGGGGGCGCACAAAGGGCAACCAAATGCGCCACGGGGGCGCTCGGCCCAAGTCCACCCAGTCCGCCAGGCGGTCCGTGGACGCGCTGCTGGTGACTCGCCCGCTGTATGTGGGGTCTTTCACAAGGGCGTCATGATAATTTTCACGGTTTGCCAAAGGTAGCAAACACTCACTATGACACTGTTTAGTCCAATATAAATCAGATAACTTATATAACTTATATAACTTATAAAGTCTGAGCTCTGTTTCGGAAATTTTCCAGATCGTCTACTTAAAAAGTTCTATAAATATTCCTGATAGGACTTCGGCATATGAGAACCATTTCCGTCATATGCGTCAAAAACAATGAAGATAAGCTGCTATATCCAACATTCATGCAACAAATTATTTGCACACGTTCTTAATTGGCAATCTAACGATAGCATAAAGCACCACTTGTGGCAAATCGGAGAACTAGAAAACTGATGATGGGTATCATAATTTTGCACGGCGAGGTATGAGAGAATAGGCGAATCCAATAGAAACTAAGCGATCGTTTCAGTCTCTGGTGGTGAATAAGGGAACCATCAAAAGAGTGATGATGGCTGAAATTTTCGCCGTGTAGCATAGGAAGAGGAAAATGTTTTTACCTTTTCTGATTAATTTATCCATCGCAGGTGCTTGTAATCATCAGTCACATGGAATATTTTGTTTTCTGTATCGATTTTGCAGTGATCCGGCTGGTGCTTTCACATATTTTTGTTAAGAAAAGTGAAGATTTATGAAACTACCACAGCGGTTATGATGTTCCGGATTTCTAATGTGGTGTTATTTGAGCTGTAAATCCGTTCAAATATGTGAAAATGATTAAATAAGATCCCTCCCGATGGAAATATGCAAGATACGCATAACAATATGTGTTAATTTGAGATGTAAAAAAATTTAATTTTGATGTAAACAAACGGTTTGGTTGACGTTTCCTCTTATAATCGCCTAGCGCACTCTACATTGGCGGTGCTTAGAAACAGCCTATATTAAAAACGCTTTTATTTAACAAATAAAGAATTTTCTCTACATTTGGTTGTGCATACGAGGTTAGAAAAGTTTGAATCTAAAGATCTAAACGAAAACTAAGAAAAAAATAAAAATTTAAAATTATACGTCTATAAGATAGCTTTTGAGGTTTCTTCCTCCGTAGCAGCTTCACAGCAAAAAAATAATTTTGATATCACATCAAAGTGGATGCACTTCAATCGTATCAAAAATATGGTGTCATATTACTTGCCAAAAAGGACAAAATTTTCATTAATACAGTGCATGAACTGACGTTACACCACAGAGAACAGACATGGAGGCTCGAACAAAATTTCTCTAAAAACTCGAGTAAAGATTCCTATTCGACTTAAGCGCCACTAACGGTGACTTCCCCACTTAAAAACCCTCTTGGACAACATGATGGCGCTGGCGTTGCACAAATTACACTAGACACTAAATGCTAGTAGCGTCAAGTGGCGATTTTCAACAGAAAATTTATCGATACTAGCGCCAAATTGGTCGAAAGTGGAAAATTTATAGAGAAAATCAGGAGATGCTAACACCACGTAACGGCGACGTTCCCACTTATTTTACACAAGTTTCTGACCGAACTTGAACGTCTGTTCTCTGTGGTTACACTGCTTTTACTGCATTTGTTTATTTTTGTAGCCATAAAAATTACATGAGATTTTCGACATGATTGAAGTGCATCCTCTTAGATGTAATATTAAAATTTATTTTTTACTGTGTTTGAAAAAAATGACAAATATTTTTTTCGGATAATAAATGCTTTTCAAGATTTCTTTCCTATACCTCAACGTGCAAAATTTTGAGACCATCATCATTTTTTAATTCCTTCTATTCGCCACGAACGCTATCGTTAGCAGGGGTTTGACATATAGTTGAATACACGTACTCAACATCAAAACAACAAAACATATCATGGTACCGCTGACAACGTTGCAGATGTTCGGTACGAAGCAAACTTAAGGTGTTTCGCTGTGAGATCCTTATTCTCGTTACCACTTCGAATCTTTAAGAGCACAAATATCAGCTTCTACGACACGTGCAACATTAAAACTGTTACTCCATGTTTGATGCACTGCAGTAGTCATGAAGTAGGAATTTAAGGTGAAATGTAGCACTGATTTCCGAGATTTGTGTAATGGAAATTTCGAAGTGGATCTGCATGTATAGCCTACATGGTGGCCATTTCACAGCAAAAAATAAATTTTAATATTACATCCAAGAGGATGCACTTCAATCATGTCGAAAATCTAATGCAATTTTTATGGCCACAAAAATAAACAAATGCAGTAAAAGTAGTGTAATGTCAGTTCATGCACTGTATTAATGATAATTTTGTCCTTTTTAGCAAGTAATATTACACCATATTTTTTACACGATTGAAGTGCATCCACTTTGATGTGATATCAAAATTAATTTTTTGCTGTGTTTGTGGACTCTACAAGGAATCACCTTAAGCGATATGACAGTCATATCCATCCCCTGATCGTTAGATCACCAATTAATAATTGCAGTAGGCTGCGCGTCCGATCAAACATGACGTTGATTTTTTTCTCTGAGTTTTTTTTTATGCTTATTTGGTTATTAATCCGGTTAACATTTTCAAAGATGGCCAAGAACGCGATTATCCGTTTCAAAAGGAATCAAACCATCTATGCAGAAGAAGCCCTGCGAGAACTGCATCCCATCCCCACGGGATACTGGCTGTACTGACTGTGATTTGCCGCTGACATACGGTTTCGAAAAAGAAGAGGAACCTTTATTGGAACGAAGATATTCCATTTTTCGTCGTATTCGCGTCAAGAAATTGCAAGTTACTGGACCTGATACTTGGCTACCTTCACTCGGATCCACCAATCGAGTCTAAGGGAATCGAAGGATTTGTTGACTGGACGAGGGTTTGTGGATTTGCCAGTCCCTTGTCACGTGATTACAGACCAGATGGCCGTTTTGTCCAAAGGTCTTCAATGAAACTGATTCACCCTGCTGCAAAAAACCATCAGGCATAACTTTACAACCTGTAAAGTATCTGCAGACATTGGTAATCCTTGCACTGATGGTGGTACGCCTTTCACATCACATCACATCACGAGCTAAATTAAGAATGCAGTTATAAAAATTCTACGGCGGTTTCGGAAGACTGATTTAAAGGGGGTATGCCAAGTTATGCCGAAATAGTAACGCACATCAGGTTTAGACAATTTTCCACTTTGGATTTAAAATATTGTTCAGATTTTTTGGATTTGCATTCCATCTTAATAAATAGTGAATTTGTTTTTTATCCAGGACAGAACCAGGTCCAAGCCAGTGCGAAACCGAACTTTTTGTCAGTGAAAACCTGAACCTGGGGTATGTTTTAAAAACAAACGATCAAACGTTTGTCAGAAAACAGACAGACACAATCTTGATCCCCGATCCAGGTTGGAACTGAATCAAAAACAAATCCGGCATTAGGCAATCTTCATGACCTTCCAAAAAATTAGGGAATCATATTTCAATGTTTTCCAAATAACTGAAAATTCCAACATAACTACATAACCAATCCAGTTCGCCACCGACGCATCGACAACGATGCCGAAGCGGGTATTCCTACAGCTTCCCCATGCCTTCAGGGGCAGAGTCACACTCCGTCGACGATGCGTTATTGCGTTTTCCCCGTCGTCGTCATCATCATGTGATCATCAGCGCTAAAAAGACAAACAATCGCGTTCCGACTACCGATACGAGCACTGCGTCGTCATGCTGTCGAAGCTGCCGCCGCCATTGTTTCAAGGGTAAATATTGGAATGTAGCAAAAATAACAAACTACTTGAATACGCCAAAGCTGACTTTCACGTGAAAAACGAACTAATAGGTACCTACCTAGTGAGAGTAGCAAAAGGGGGAAATGTTGGTTGGTGCTTCTTCTACATTGGCTGATGGCTGGCCGGGGGATGGGGCGAACGTCTGATCGAAATCCCAATTACGCGCACGTTTCAGCAAATCGAAACAGGGGTTGGCCGTACTATTTTAATATTAATTTGAAAAATATCATTTTTATTACCCGCCTGTGTTTGTTATACCTCCTCCTACACTCCCTTCCATAAATAGAGAAGTAGCAATGAACGACAACACAAATGGCAAACCTGGTGAGCGTGTTTAGAAATAATTTGGCAGGGAAAAAAGTAATTAACATTCAAGTGCTGGACAAACACAAACAGTAGCAAATAGCGAAGGAAATATTGTCTATTTGCCGTCAGTGGTCGAATTCGTAAACAGTTCGGTTTAGTTTTCGTGCATCGATAGCGCACGAATGGTTATTGTATTTCTGATTGATGTAACATCAACAGTTGATTGGTAGAATATAGCTAAATATCAATTAAATATAAACTTTTGCAAGTTCTAGTTATTATAAAAAAAAAAACTATTCAAATCGAACCTTTTTCCGTTCAATTTCCTTGGTCAAGAACGATGGTCTTTTTAGAATAGATTTCACTTCGCTGTCTCTTACTATGCCTACCGGATCCTTATCCCTGCCTTCGAAAGTTCTGATTTCTGCTCCGGTGTCCTCCAAGCAGCTAACGGAATTATTAAGTGTCTCCTGCAATCGTCGAACAGTATCCTCATCGGGGATCAACTCTCGTTCTGCGTTGTTTAGTTCGACTTCCTTCTGTTTGAGTTTTTCAATTTCCTCTTCGATCTCTGCCATCTTCAAAGAATGTAGATCCTCATCTGGGTCATAAACTATGTCCAAGTTTTTCGAACTCTTCGCAACCGGACTGTCATCAGCGTTCGCGGCACGTTTCAGCTGAATCAGACAACGATCCATTGAGAAATGTTTGGCAAAATGGGAGGAGAAATCGCAAAACTCCTCTCGATCTCGCCAAATGCTTAGTTTGGCATCGCGCATTTGACTGTATTTATCGGCAAGTTGGACTTCTTGCTTCCTGTACAGTTGCTTCCAACTTTCGAATTGCAGTTCCACCATAGATTCCTGGGCTTTCATCGAGTAGTACTGTTTGAGGTTATGTTCGTAGTCGGTACGATGTTCCTCTAGCTTTTGGGTGCTTTCGTCCAGCAACTGCTGCAAGCGTGTGACTTCTGTGGAATATGGAGAAATCCATTATTTGATTCTATACTCATCTATCGAAGATTACCCTCATTGTTGGAAGATTCAGCATCCATGTTAACTGACAGGTTTTTCGTTTGTTCCGACGGTAAACACATCACGGTCACGTCGAATTCCCAACACGTGCTTTGAACGATCAACTTTATGAACGGAAGAAAGCACAGCTCACTTGATAGAAATACAACTGAATTCGCGAACGGAAACGAACAAAATGAACAGGTAGGGGAAATTCTTCTCTACCCGATTGTGTTTTAGGTTTGCGAATGTAGGTTTCGGTTCGCGAGAAAATGGCCTTACAAGGTTTGTTTACAAAATGGAGATGAGGCCTTTCAATGGTTGGTCTTATATTCTAATACAGCTACAGTCAACTCTCCATTTCTTGTTGTTATATATCTCAGTATTTCTTCTTATCTCCCCTCTAGGTTCCAATACAGTTTGTACTTTATTGGTGGTAAGCTATAACTCGGATTATCTTTTAATACCGAGTTTATTGGGTTGATCTGAAAAACGTTTTCTAAGTGTCGTGTTGATTAACTCTTATGTCGACATCGAAACAGTTAAACATGTTTGATGGGATAATACCGGTTGGATTTTACCACAATCTTGATAGAGCGAATATCTCGATCATTGATATGTCGGGTACAAAATATATCTCCATGTATCGATGAAAAATCTAGTTTACTTTTCTTTTTCTTTTTTTAAAGTATACAATCGAGTTTTGTTTTGGATACGGAATAAACAAATAGATCCAATTTCAGTCCTACTAAGCACAATCCGCGCTTTACCTCTCTTTTTTGAACGGGTTTGATCAAAAAATGGAATATTTCTGTCAAAGATGACTTCTAAATTTATGCACCTTTCCATACGTACCGTTGAATAGGATAAAGAGTCACAAATTGTTGAGATATTGTTTAAAATCTAATTCTTTTTTTTTTGTCTCTTTATTCAGGAGATTTTTAGTCGCAGGTAGAAAATCTAATACTGCTTCTTGATTCTAAATTCGTTCTACAAGTTTCAATTCCGTCCTAACGCATTGGAACACCATTAGATTTTCTTCGTCCTACGGATAAACGTAGAAAAAGGGGATTCGCTAGGAGTGCTTCTTTTGTTTTGAAAACAATGAACGTAAATCCAGAACAACATGTGAAAAGGGCAAACAAGCTTTTTGTAAACAAACCTTATTATGCCCTTTTCTCGCCACCCATATGACACGAACGGAAACCTTTAACATCACCGGGTAGGGGACACTTTCCCCTTCCCGATGATATTGCTGGTTTGCGTGGGCGACCCTCGGTTGGCGAGAAAAGGGCCTAAATCGCAACTCTCCTGACCGACGCATAGCTTGATATAAAGAGAGAGAATGCTCTTTTAGTATAAAAATGGTTTATACGTGACATAGCATAAAATAGAAATATACCTGAAATGCATACGTACGATTTATTCAGAATGCTTTTATGGCTTCTTTTTTAGTGCGTGATCTTAATTTTTGTTTACATATAAAATAAAAGCTAGTTATGAAGAATAGTTTATTCATTGTGACTATGGCATGACCAGACACTCCCGGGTAACTAGCTCAATAGCATGAGACCCCTGAACTGTGTCGCAGGGCCGGCATGTTACTGGGTATTCGGAGGGGCTACGCGGACAAAGTATGAAACACAGGAAGATTCACATTTTCTAACACTTTTATTTGCCCTTTTCTGTGGCGTGTGGGTGTGGGTTTTCACATATATGTGGCGTGTATGCGATGGTTTAAAATGTTACGGTACTCACTGTTGCAGCAGATTCTTCTTCGGCGTCGCGACGCTGGCGTTGGCCCACACGGCTGCTCCTGCACTACCGTGTGGCCGGAAACTTGCGGCGCGGGCTGCAGACAGTGTTGTTGTCGCTTTGGGAGAATGGCGGATCTGGTGGCGTTCATCAGCCACATACGGCTCAGCAGGCGTTGCTGGCTCGTTTGGCTGGCAGGCGTCTTCCGTCGTTGACTAAATCTGCTGACCGTGGCATGGCCACCTTGGTCGAGCCGAGACGGGACCCTCCTTGGCAATTAAGGCCACCGGCCTGAGGGAATCGTCCCTGACGGACGATCGAGGATCATTTACTATTAGGCTCGGAAGCCATCTTGACTTCCGAGCCGAGCCGTGTAAAACCGTTTTGCTTACGATACGAGGTGTACATTAGGGTGCTTCATTCTGAAAAAAGTGATGAATTTCTGATGGGCCACCCTCCAGTTCGATTCATAGCCCCAAAATATGAACCTGTGCAAAAATTGGTAAAGATTGATGAAGGTTTAGAGGTCGCGCCAATGATTTGAAATTTGTATGGGAATTACTATGGAAGAATTTAAAAAATCGCTTATATCGCTATAACTTTGCTTCTACTTGTCCAAATGTCGAAAAAATTTAGTATGTTATTGCTATGGCAATAAACAAAAAGCCTACAGTTGCTACGCTCAGTTTTGCAGCGTATCAAGAATTATAAAAATGTGAAAAAATGGCAAAATAGGGTAAATTGACAGATGAATATGTACAAGGCAACAACGCCAATTTCATCGCAACAACAACAGGCTTGTTGATCATTGTCATGACAACCACATATTTTTTTTTTTTTCAACGTTTGGACAACTACAACCAAAGTTAGAGCAATGTAAACGAAAATCAATAATTTCCCATACTAATTCACCAAAATCTCCATACAAAATCCAAATCATTGGCGCGACCTCTAAACCTTCATCAATCTTTACCATTTTTTGCACAGGTTCATATTTTGGGGCTATGAATCGAACTGGAGGGTGGCCTATCAAAAATTCATCACTTTTTTCAAAATGAAACACCCTAGTGTACATGTTGTACAAAAGCACAAGAAGTCCTGAACGGAGGTAGGCTTTCCAGCCCAAACCCCACAAGGGGGGGGGGGGGGGTTGTGTTATATATGCACTACACTTCACAATACCGGTCTACACGGAGGCCTGATTACTACTGCCAATTAGAAGGTTTTTTTCTTTTACAACATGGCCACTCGCATGCCTTTTGCCGATCATTCTCCATTTTTAGCTTAATTGTCCTCCCTTTAGTATCGTTCGAGTGTTTTTGCAGCGGTACTAGCCCTCTCGCTCCTGTGTGTTGCCTTCTGTCTTTTAAATTAAAATACGTGAATTTTCCAAACAACAACAACTCATACAAACGAAAATCCACGGATTGTAACCAACTGGTTACATCATAACATAACAGTTTCTTTAGAGTGAACCAATAAACTAATCAATCACAACTCCCAGCACAGATTGACGAATCTACAGAAATTCCACCACGGCCTGGCCTGAACGTAGCTTGAGATCCTTGTTGAGATCAATACCAAGGGAAGATGTAAAGGTTCTGTTACACGGTGAACTTCAATATGTTCTCGCCTTCTACCGTGGAGCTAAGGACTGCGAGGTGCATTAATCGTGGATGCGTTGGACCTACGAAATCAAAAAATCATCTCAATTACCTTACCACAACAGACACTCATTCATAAAACTTACCGAAACCTATCAGAGATAAACTTCTGCTGATGCTTAATAGAAATCTTGTTTGTCCTGAACATTCTGGACCGAATAGCACAACTTCCATGTGTCACGCTTCGAATAGAGCCGTCAGTCGAAAAAAAACTTTTCTCCATATCCCACCATATGCAAATAGGCTCGAATAAGATCTATCCCACTGTCCATCTCGGTGAAGCTGGGATACATGGCCACCAATGCGCTCATGCTCCGGTTAGATTCCGGATCACTTTGTTGCCGGTTACGTTGCTGTTGCTAGTTGACTTGTTATATTTTTTCTCTGATTTCGGACGAGTTTGGCACTTGGTATATACACAGAATAAATTCTCCGTCTTTATTAGGTTTTGCACCGTCGGGGTTAACCTCAATCTGATGACAGTTTAGTGGTACTGTTTACGTGGACTTAGCCGATTTTTTGTTGGGTGGATTTTCTCGATAATTTTTCAGACTGCAGTGAGATGTACACAGCATTTCTGCAATGTTCACGAGCAATATCCTTGCAACGCGCTGTTCCTCGACAATTTTCAAGTTAAAATTCAGAAACTTTAGAAATTTTTTTTTTCGAAAAAACGACTAAGTGCTTGTAAACAGTACCACTGAACTGTCAAAAAGGTTCAGCCGTTTAACACTGAGTTCATTTGTGACGTCACGCTGCAGAACCTAATTCGGACTTAGCAAATTTTAATCGGAATAATGTATATATATTGGTTAATCGTAGAATGCTTAAAATTTATTCTTGTTTCGTTTTGTAATTTTTTTTAGTGTACCTCGCACAAATAAAGCCCTACAGTAAAAGTATGGACGACTGTCACCACAAAACTGAAAAAAAGCTGTTCCAATCGAGCAAAGCAGTGCATTTTAACGGTTCGATTGGAACAACTTTTGACAGACGTCCATACTTTTACCACAAACGAAGTGACAGACGACTAACTGGCGAAGAAATCAATTAAAATAATGTGGTTCGCTGTAATAGAATTTTCTTAGAAGCTTGTGTCATCAGCCACCAGATGGGCTAGTATTTTTGTTTTGATTTGAACATAGTTGATTTTGTGTGCAATATGATCTTTGACAGTGTGCAAAGAGTGTATCATTTTGTTATTTTTTTATGCATTTCAGTTTAGAGTAGAGTGAAAGAGATAGAACCAAAACATTCTAGTACATTTAGTGTTGCCATGTTGTACAATCCAGTAGTAGTGGTGTTGCCATGTGGTACACTGAAAAATTGCAATAGCAGGTGCGTCACCAAAGTTTTCGAGCCGCTCCGTCTGTCACTTCGTTTGTGCTTTTACTGTAGGGCTTTACGCATAACTGGTTCCAAACGTAAACAAGCCATAAGAAACCTACAGGGTTTGTTTACGTTTGGAACCAATTTCATACAAGAATGATCAGTAGGCTGATTTGACAGCACATTCACCCCAGGAACCTATACGTGGACGTTGAAGGAATTCCTGCAATCCGAACTGATCATGCCGTAAGAAATCAGCGAAGAATTGGAGAGTGTTGCTTTCGATTTTGGACAAGAATCCCAAAACTCGGATCACCATCAAGGAGCTACTGGAGACGGAATGGATGACGCAGGAAATCAATTCGTCATAGTTCAATTTATCCAAAATCACCTCCTGCGAACCTTCTATATCTTCTCCAGC